TTAGACCATTCTCAACCAGGGATGGAGGCTCAGCTGGTCCAAAGGGATCCTCTGGTTTGGGTCCAGTGCCAGACAGGCCCGCAAGAAGTCACTGCACTCTGCAAAAACAAACACACAAGACAAGTTTTAGAGTGTACACTTCATAGTTGCTCTTCCCACTGTGAGTTCTTAAGTTCTTAAGTGACAAAACTTCTATGGTCCGTTCTGTAGATACTGTCATTGGTGCAGTGTTTAAGGGTGAACTGTGTCATCTATCTTCTCAAATGAAGCTCTGACATCTTGAATGTTTTATCTAATGACATGAAGACTAAATCATATCTAAATAATGTGTGTGTTTCTCTGCTCGTACCTTGGGACACACCACTCAGACTCAAGAAGGAAATGTATGGAAAACCCTTCATGAAATCTCTTGTGGTGAACCCTTTGTCACTCTTAGAGCGCAGCAGTTCGTGAAGTAGCGCCCCCGTCTGCCACACTGAGGTAGGAGCAGCGCGGTATCCTTCAGTCCCATAGGCCTCAGGAGGTACATACTCTGGTGTTCCTGAAAACCACAAAGAAACACATAGAAATAATCGTGCATCTTTAGTGATCTTGTACTTTAACTACTACTGCTGCTATTACTACTACGTTGGTTAGGAATATTACCTTTGAAACTGTAGAAGGGCTCTGATTGGACGCCGCAGCCACAGCCAAAGTCTATGACCCTGATCCTTGGGCCAGACTCTGTCTCCTGAACCAGGAGATTGTTCATATTAACGTCTCTATGGAAAATCTGTTTTGAGTCAAGGTCCAGCAGCGCGTTCACCACCTGACGGATCAGCTCCTGCCGGACAATAACAAGAACGTGGATTAGAAAAGTAACTGAAATGTATTACAAATGGCATTAATTATATATGAGATTAAAGAAGAGATGCTGTTTTCTGCTACATGGGCTTATTTACTACTAATTTATCACACCCATGCATTTTTAAAATTATTATTATGGACATTTTAAATCACAATATTGATCTTAAACTAGTTGTTCTAAAGTTCTAAAGTCTACAGTTCTAAAGCTTTGGTTGTAAAATGTGCTAAGTTGGATTTGGATAAAATTCATTCAAATTCAAACAACAACTGCAAAGGACCAGAAACTCGCATACCACAGTTTGAGAAACACTGACTTAGATGATTAAACTTCCAAACAATGAAAGAGAGAAGACTGAAAGAGTTTAAAATCGATTCTACTTTGTCTTCCAAATAAAAGAGTTACTCAAAAAAATCAATATGTAAACTGGGTTATCTGCTTCTTCTAGTTATCTTGTTTTTACTGGTCATGCAAATGTTACCACTGATTGAGCAGATAGAATTTTATCAAATATTTAAGCATATATATATATTTTTTTTGCATACCTTTGCGTGAGCTTCTGTCAGGGGGCCTTTCTCCTGACGGTAGTCAAACAGGTCTTGGGATGGAGTGGGTCTCTCCATCACCAGAACCACCTCCTGACCTTCATCCTGGAGGTACCAGTCGAGCAGAGTCACCGAGGGGTTCAGTCCGACCGAGTGCCGATCCGGAGCAGCTTTGTTCATCAGGACGGCCTCAGAGGGGACGCTCAACACCTCATTTTCAATGCTCTAAAAGTGGAAAATGTCAACAAAACAGATTATTCCACAATCAGAGGCAAATGCAGTGTCAGATATTCATGGGGTGGAACTAGTGACTTTTGTTCAATCTGATACAGTCAAACTATGGCAAGTATCACAATATTGATCTGTTTTGGATTTTTAGCAGGGTGTTAGGTATGGACCTAAGGTTTTTAAAAATCCATGGATACAAGTTGGGGTCACCCCCTAGTGGACGGCATCACAGCTTGTACCTAACACTCTGCCAAAAATCCAAAACTTTTCCAGAAGTGCACGATTTTGATGAATTCCCTCCAGGCTACATCATATTCCTATTTGGTATCAGTCCATTCATCACTAATAGAAAAGAGCTGTGAGAGGTGATAGTAGCGCACAGACTTTTTAGTGGATACTGATGTCCATTATTTGTCTGATTATTTGATGATACCGATACAACGATTTTAAAATCCATAAAATGTTCCAAAACAACAAAAAATGTCACTTACCACCAGAGAAAATTCCACGTTGTCCCTCTTTCATGTGTTTAATGGCCACCTGAAAAATCAGACATTAGAACATGATTCTATAATGGAGTCAAGTGAAAATGTGAAATTATAGGGACATTCATAGATGTTATAGATTCTATTCTGAATTGAACATCTCCAGGAAGAAACTCCATCTCTATGGAGACTGACCCTCTACATGAAAAATCACTTGAAGTCATTTGAACTTAGATTAACTGTGCATTTGAAGTTTTGTAAATGATAAAAAGTGTATTTATCTTACCGACTGTTGGTCTGAGATCCGGACGCCGGCAAACACCGACCCAAATCCTCCCTGTCCGAGCTGCTCATGCTCCTCGTATGTCAGCGCAAAGTCACTCACTGAGTTCATTTTACAAAAAAAAAAAAAAATATATATATATAATATATATTATTAGTATGATTATCCAATGTGACATTAAAACACCCATTCACACATAGACAAGGGAGCAAAGTGTCTTGCCCAAGAGCACATTAACAGTATTAGTTAGGTTTAGTTGTAGCTATGATGTATATGTTTCAGTCCTGGTTTGGTCCTAGATTAGTATTTTGGTCCTGTTGTAGTCCTGGTCTAGTCCTGGTTTAGTGTATACATCTAAAGATACAATAGTTCTCTGTGGATTCTGCCTGTACCTTTGGCGGATTCATCAGGACGAGGTTTTTTGGGCTCAGGTTTGAACCCCTCGTCGGTGGCTTTCCGTTTTTTTGTAGTTTTGCTCACGCTCAGTTCACAATCCAAGCTGTGAGCGATGGAAGGAGTGCAGTCTGAAAATACAATTATTACTTCTGTTACAATGACAAAATGCAACAAGTGGTTTGATTTGACTTGTTTAGTCCTTGGTTTAGTCTTGGTTTAGTCCTTGGTTTAGTCCTTGGTTTAGTCCTGGTTTAGTCTTGGTTTAGTCCTTGGTTTAGTCCTGGGTGGTTTAGTCCTGGTTTAGTCTTGGTTTAGTCTTGGTTTAGTCCTGGTTTAGTCCTGGTTTAGTCCTGGTTTAGTTTTGGTTTAGTCCTGGTTTAGTTTAGGTTTAGTCCTGGTTTAGTCTTGGTTTAGTCCTGGTTTAGTCCTGGTTTAGTCCTTGGTTTAGTCTTGGTTTAGTCCTGGTTTAGTCCTGGTTTAGTCCTGGTTTAGTCTTGGTTTAGTCCTGGTTTAGTCCTGGTTTAGTCTTGGTTTAGTCTTGGTTTAGTCCTTGGTTTAGTCCTTGGTTTAGTCCTTGGTTTAGTCCTGGTTTAGTCCTGGTTTAGTCTTGGTTTAGTCCTGGTTTAGTCCTGGTTTAGTCCTGGTTTAGTCTGGTTTAGTCTCCTGGTTTAGTCCTGGTTTTAGTCCTGGTTTAGTCTCCTGGTTTAGTCTTGTTTAGTCTGGTTTAGTCCTTGGTCCTGGTTTAGTCCTGGTTTAGTCTTGGTTTAGTCTTGGTTTAGTCCTGGTTTAGTCCTTGGTTTAGTCTTGGTTTAGTCCTGGTTTAGTCCTGGTTTAGTCCTGGTTTAGTCCTGGTTTAGTCCTTGGTTTAGTCTTGGTTTAGTCTTGGTTTAGTCCTGGTTTAGTCTTGGTTTAGTCCTTGGTTTAGTCTTGGTTTAGTCCTGGTTTAGTCCTGGTTTAGTCTGGTTTAGTCTTGGTTTAGTCCTGGTTTAGTCCTGGTTTAGTCCTGGTTTAGTCCTGGTTTAGTCCTTGGTTTAGTCTTGGTTTAGTCTTGGTTTAGTCCTGTTTAGTTTTAGTTCTGGTTTAGTCCTGGTTTAGTCTTGGTTTAGTCCTGGTTTAGTCCTGGTTTAGTCCTGGTTTAGTCCTGGTTTAGTCCTGGTTTAGTCTGGTTTAGTCTTGGTTTTGTCCTGGTTTAGTCTTGGTTTAGTCCTGGTTTAGTCCTGTTTAGTCTTGGTTTAGTCCTGGTTTAGTCCTGGTTTAGTCTTGGTTTAGTCCTGGTTTAGTCCTGGTTTAGTCCTTGGTTTAGTCCTGGTTTAGTCCTGGTTTAGGTTTAGTCTTGGTTTAGTCTTGGTTTAGTCCTGGTTTAGTCTTGGTTTAGTCTCTGGTTTAGTCTGGTTTAGTCCTGGTTTAGTCCTGGTTTAGTCCTGGTTTAGTCCTGGTTTATTTGACTCTCGTACCTTCTTCTTGGAGCTTCGTCCTCTTAGTTCTGTCCAGTGTTTCTCCTCTGAGTGTGGATTTTTTGGAGCAGGACGTTTTGGACTCAAAGTCAGAGTTTGACTGAGTCTCTGGATTTTCTTTTCCTGGTTTGGAAAAGGCTCAGTCCAGTTGTAAAGACGAGCCTGGAGCCTGTGAACACATCAGGTCATTGTTATGACTTGGTTACTACATGTTTATGTGTAAGGATCAAAATGGACACTCATGGAAGCAAACTTCAAACCACAGATGGGTCGTTACATTTACAATGACTTGAGGAACTTCTTGACAAAACTCTACATCTCAGAGTAGTTTTCAGACTTTTTACTTTACTTGTGTACTTTCTGGATCAGTACTTTCTACTTGTACTTTAGTAACAACATTTAAAGAGACAATACTCTTATAACTTTAAATACATTACAACTACATGACCCTTGATCCCTTCAGGTTGGGACTGTTTTAAATTCTTAAAAATTTCTTTCACAAACCTTGCAAGATCGCTTGGCTGACGTCAAAAATGTACCGCGTCCACGGTGCCATTGTTTTGAAATCACAAAAAGGCAATGAAGTCGACAAAAGTGCGTGAGTTGCTGAGATCCGTGTGTCTCCTGTGCTGTCTGAGAAGTTGTGACCTGTTGGAGCTGAACTTACACAGAAAGTGGCAGAACAGCAGTGATGTCATTTAGAATGTTGCCGCTGGCGACGGCCAATAGGAGCCCACGGAATTTCTATGATCATGTGATCTGTATATTTGTTTTGATTTAAATGACACATTAATGCGCATCACTATCGCAGTTATTAGCCATATCTCTTTAATAGCAGTACTCAGGATACTGTGTGTACATGTGCTCTGAGAAACCCAGACGCTCATATCACTGTGTACATGATCAAATGGAGTGTCCCGCTTTCTTGACATAATCTTACAAATGTGCAAGCACAAAAGTTAATTTAATTTAATTTAATAAACCAGGAAAAACACAAACAACCATGATCCTTTAGCACATGAATTTTCTCCTCTCCATGGATTCTACCTGGACGACTGAGGGATTTTTCACACATCTTTAGCACAGGACACAACTCAGTGGAATATGAGTGTTCTTTGTGTGACAGAGGATGTGCTGATGATGGTGAGTCTGTTCTGTGTGTGTATCGTGGAGGAGATGGTTCATGTTTGAACTTTTCAGACGTGTGCAGGTCATATGAGTGCAGATTGTTCATGTGCGGGTTTATTCATTTCACTGATTTATGGTCACTTTATTTATGTTGGTCACTTTATTTATGTCACTAATGTTGTGATGAAAAGACTGAAACATGTTTGTCTTTTGGAGTCGTGCACTCAACTTTATGTTGCAGTAACCGGGATACTGCGTATACATCCAAAATGAATGAATGTTTATGAATGAATGAATGAATGATTATTTGGACAGTAATACATAGAACATAAATAAAAAACGTAAATACATAGATATAACACAAAAAGTAAATATTTCTATTCTATAATAACAGGCAAAATAAATGTCACACAGATTTTACTTGTGTCTGAAAAAGCAGTGGGAGGAAGTAAATATTTATTTAACCCAACCCCTTTTTTCTACCATCTCAAATGAACAAAGAACACATATACACTTCTCATTTCCTGTACAATATAAACAATAATTGCACAGTACCTGCATTGCAGTACAAATCTAACAGCAACAACAAATATATGTATATTATGTACACAGATATAGTACACATCATATACACAGATATAATATATACATACCCACATACACATTATATATACATATACATACCCGTGCATATATATAAATATGTATATACATATATATACTAATTCACATACATATACAAACATATACACATACATATACTTACGCAAAACATATACACAGGTATATGACCTACACAGGTCTCCAGGAAGAACAGTTGATAGTCAAGGTCAGTTAAATACAATCAATCAATGAACCTGCCCAGGGACGACAGGTGGAAATGAGCACTGATGCTACAACCTGATGTACAAACATCTCTCCTGTTAAGGCTAAAATTGTGCACTGTCCCTGTCTCAAATAAATAAATAAATAAATAAATAAATAAATAAATAAAACACGACACAATATCCCGGTTATTATTGGAATATACCAGCTACAGTATCTGTTTTTTAATAACTGGGATACTGTCTTATCCGGGATACTGAAACAGGGATACTGTGTGTACATGCACCATGACCAAACCAGGACACTCAAAAAAGTTGATTCTAACCAGGACACTGATGTGTGTAAACTCACTCACTGAGTTCTGCAGAGTTTAAACATGAAGCTCATCAACTTATGACCTGGTCCCTGAAGAGTTGATGTGTCTGTGTGTGTCTGTGTGTGTATGTGTCTGTGTGTGTCTGTGTGTGTATGTGTCTGTGTGTGTGTGTGTCTGTGTGTGTGTCTGTGTGTGTGTCTGTGTGTGTGTGTGTGTGTGTGTGTGTGTGTCTGTGTGTGTGTGTGTGTGTGTGTGTGTGTGTCTGTGTGTGTGTGTGTGTGTCTGTGTGTGTGTGTCTGTGTGTGTGTGTGTGTGTGTCTGTGTGTGTGTGTGTGTGTCTGTGTGTGTCTGTGTGTGTGTGTGTGTGTGTGTGTCTGTGTGTGTGTGTGTGTGTGTCTGTGTGTGTGTGTGTGTGTCTGTGTGTGTGTCTGTGTGTGTCTGTGTGTGTGTGTGTGTGTGTGTGTGTGTCTGTGTGTGTGTGTGTGTGTGTGTGTGTGTGTCTGTGTGTCTGTGTGTGTGTGTGTGTGTGTGTGTGTGTGTCTGTGTGTGTGTGTGTGTGTGTGTGTGTCTGTGTGTCTGTGTGTGTGTGTGTGTGTGTGTGTGTATTTAATTTAGAAGAAAAATACAAAAAAAATAAACAATGCCTCAAAATCCAAGCCAAATTCTTCATCAAAAGCATTTACGTTTTCCAAAAATAGCTGCAAAATATTTTGACTCTTAACGGTTCATTGTGTAAATGTTTGGTTGGGTCCGTTGTACTGTCGGCCTAAACATCTATATGAGCTGCGTAGAGCTACTGAGCATGAGCCTGACCCCCAAGCGCTGTTACTATTTAAATGCCGTCGATTTGAGCTCCTGAGGCAGAAGTGGATTTGACTGGATTCAACACTGACAAAGTAACATTTTAAAAGTGTATTGGTTTTATTGTATGTTTTGACCAATTAAGCATGTAACCAATGACATGTGCAGGTTAAAAGTGCATTTTGAAGTTTGCAGAGCAGTTTCTGAAGAATGGAGATATCACATTTATCAGGACACACCCTGAAGAGGTGTTAAAGGCTTGACTGGAGGTCACATGTGCTCTCCTACATGTGCATTACAGATGGAATTGTCCCCTTTTCTGTCCTCATCCATCATGACTAAGAGACAAGTCCATTGTTATTGGTTCTATATAAATAAAATTGAATTGCATGGAATTGAGGGATGCATTATTTGAAGAAGATATAGACCTGTCAAGATTTGCTCCTCTTCCCATATTCATATAAATGAGTGAATTCATTGTGATTCTACAGTGGGAGCATTATTTGAGGGATACATTGTCCTGTTGATATGTGCTCCTTTTAGTCACAGCCTATTTGAGCAGAAGACAACCTACGCATATTCATATAAATGAGTTAAAATTGTA